TAGGGGTTTAGGGTTTTGGGTTTTGTGTTTTGGGCTAGGGTTTAGGGGTTTAGGATTTAGGGTTTAGGTTCAGGTTCGAAGAGCGAGTGTGGCCCACTTATGCACCTGCCACAAAGCCTCCCGACTGGACAACTGCGTGTCCACCTATGCTCCTTCTCGCTTGCAGGTTTTAGGTTGGGGTTTAGGGTGTAGAGTTTAGGGTTTAGGGGTTGGGGTTGTGGCGGAATGGGGCGGAATCCACGGCAAGATATGCAGTACGAACTATTTGCAGGCATGAGGTTTGCCGTGCATCATGCCATGTATCCTTCCTCATGCCCATCCTAAACCCTAAACCCTAAACCGTCCCGAGGCTTTGTACCTTCTGGATTGAGGGCAAGTGCCGACACTTGGCAGCATGGTGTTGAGGATTCATGTTCCAATCGTCAGGATTTTCAACAACTGGCCAGCCCGTGAGTCGTAGTCATGCTGTTCTTGTTGTCATGATCCCTAAACCCTAAGCCCTATACTTTCTAGGACTATTGCCATTTTCTGAGAGATGACGTAGTTGGGTGATCACTCGGTAAAGCTTCTGCGTCTAGACGTTGCTTTTGTTTTCGTTTTGGTGTCTAGACATGCAATTGATGTAGCTATTATATGGTCACTGTTGTTGATATTGCGAAGACCAGAATTATTCTGTTCCGTTGTGTTCGTTGTTAATAGTCTGTTTTCTCCACACATGTAGTTTTCAGTATAGTAGGTATCCTAAGGTTAGGCCAATCTTTGGATGCCTGCTATAGTCTGATTAGAGACCCGAAAGAAATTGGAGTGCACTAATCCAGGGTCTAGATTAATTTTCTTCACTCCGAGGACCGGTCACTGGGTCGTAACAGCTCCTGTTCCAGACGTCCAACTCCCCAGCCCCTCACATGTCAATGTTATATTCATTATTGATGTCCCTAAACCCTAAACCCTAAACTTGCTGGTTCATGGCTCTTGCGGTGTGGGGGTTGAGGGGTCACCTGCTTCAGAGGCTTCAGGACCGAGTTCGAAGCCAACAGCAAGATGCGCAACCATCAGCCGATATTAGGGTTTAGGGTTTAGGGCAGATTTCCGGCATGCGAGTTACAGCCATGATGCTTCCTACTGCGTTGATTGCTGACAGCATTTGCCGGGAAATTCTAAAGGGGCGCCGCGCAACTCAGGGTTCCAGTCTCCGAACTAGCCTAAACCCTAAAGCCCTAGTATAGGGGCCTCAACAATTAGAATTAGGGTTTGGGGGCCGATTCTACCATAAATATAATAGGGAAAGCGCAAAGCCTTTCAGAAACCTTTAAAACTCTGGTCAAAGCCTTCGCTTGTTGTTGTTGCAGCTCCTATACAGAACGCTATAACACCCCACAAAAGCTGTAGAGCCATGTTAGAGCACAACGGTGGAGTCTACGAACTCAGGCCCCCATATTCTTTAGGATGCAGGCTATTGCTTCAACCAGGTTTAGGGTTCAGGGTCCGGTTTAGGGTTTAGGGTTTAGGGTTTAGGGTTTAGGGTTCAGGGTCCGGTTTAGGGTTTAGGGTTTAGGGTTCAGGGTCCCCTTCTGGGGTTTTGTTGGGGTTCTGCGCGTTGTTTCGCGGGTGTTACACAAGATGTTGCACGGTGTTTACGGGGGTTTAGGGTGGGTTTGCAGAGGTCTTGTAGGGCTTCAAGAGCGGCCTCTGAAACCCTAAACCCTAAACCCCTGTAAACCCTAAACCAGTTTAGGGCTTAGGGCTACGTGCTTTCGGAAGTTCGGTTCATGGAGAGCTTCCCGGGTAAAGCTTGCGGGGCAGTCTTCATAAATACCCTGGCGCCTGTGCTTTGCTTCAGGAAGGGGCGAACAGTGCCTCGGAAGCAGTTTTGCCTAAACACTCCAAAAACAAAGTCCTACAAATCGTCCCTAAATCCCAAGCCCCTCACACTTATCTGCCCGCAGCCCCTACGAACGACAGCCCTCGTACCCTGAACGCTTAAACCCTAAACCCAGAGACTCCGAAACCCCTTCATTAAGGAATATACCTTAAATCATACTGTAGGAGTCCTACCTAAACCCTAAACCCTAAACCCTAAACCCTAAAACCCTAAACCCTAAACCCTAAACCCTAAACCCTAAACCCTAAACCCTAAACCCTAAACCCTAAAACCCTAAACCATTATTGTTTAATGTATATTCCTTTGTTAAGGGGTTTTGGAGTCTCTGGGAACCCTTAGCTTGAATGGCTTCAATGTTTCGGCGGATCGGCTTGGGGTTAGGGGGCTTCGGGCAGTTTAGGGTTTTAGGGTTTAGGGCTTAGGGCTTGCGGGTTTTAGATTTTAGGGTTTGGGGTTTAGGGTTTAGGGTTTAGGGTTTAGGCTGATATAGTCTAAGTCACCACGAGGCGACGCGCATGTGAAACGAGATCGCGTAACACCCTGCCGCCTTGTTGTCATGCCAACGTTCTTACAATTTCGTTTCTCCAGCCCCTAGCCGCCCCCCCCCCCACCCCGAATAAAATCGTCAAGAAGCCTCAGTAAGGAAGCTGATACGCACACATTTAAAATTACTCTCTTTCTATATATGTATATATGTGTATATACTGGTTCTGTACATACATAGTATCTCTCTCACAGTTCTTAATGCATGAACCAACATAGATCATATGAGAAATTAATGTGCATATCGTATACATGTGTATATATATACACAAAATATATACACGTACACATATGCACATACATACATTATCTGTCTCACACTATTTTTTCATACGTGAATACACATAATTGAGAAATAATTGTGCATACCGTATGCATATATATATATATATATATGTAGATGTGTATATATATATATGTGTGTATATATGAACGATTAGATTACACCTGTAAAAGCCTCAGCACCGTTGAGTCGAGGGCTTGAGCCCTTGCAGGTGCGAGTTCGCCCATGGTGCAGCCGAGCAGTTGGAGAACTGCAGGATGTTAGGGTTTTGGCGGCAGACCTTAAAGCAATAATTCAAAAGACTTTCTGAGATGAGAGTTTAGGGTTTTGTTTTTTTTCGGGTTTAGGGCCTCTTTGTGGTTAGAATAGGGTTTTGGGGTATGAGATACCTACAATGAGCCACCAAAATAGTATTAGTAGTTATTTAGACCCCTGTATTAAACCCTTCTGAGATGAGGGTTTGAGTCCGGTGTAGGATCTAGGTAGGTTTTAGACTTTAGGGGTTTGGGGCTCAGTTCCAAAATCTTCCAGAATCAGTGTTTGAGTATAAATCCGGTTTAGGATTTAGGTCAGGTTTAGTTCGTTTCTGTGAGCTGCGCAGTATCCGGACAGCACGACGCACGGGTCTATGCCAGTCTACTGGCTGTCGCAGTCTCGGTTACAGAAGTGGTGTCGCAAGAGTACGAGTGGCTTCTTCTCTGCTGTTCTAGCTACTTCTGGGAAGAACAGCGAGCTTTCAGTATCAAGTTTTCTTGACCCTAAACCCTAAACCCTAAACCGAACAGGGGAGCGAGGTCTGCAGATCTCAGTGGATAAGACGAGACCGGACCACAGCCGCGAGTCCCGAGCCCCTACCAACCAAATCTCGGGGTCGGAATGAGCAATAGCCTACGTAAGTTTAGGGGTTCCTTTAAAGGATGGGTTTAGGGTTTAGGGTTTAGGGTTTAGGGTTTAGGGTTTAGGGTTAGGGGTTCCTTTAAAGGATCTATAGTAGCTCCTTTCTGAGTTGCTTTTGGGGGCTTAGGCTTAGGGTTTAGGGCTTATAGCATAGTCCCTACTATAACTCAAGCAGAGTTTGAGGCTTCATAGACTCCTCGATTATTCGTCAGGGTTTCAATCCACACCGAAGGCAGGCGCCCCACTCACTCATCCCGCACCTCTTTCTTGAATGAGTGAAACCTTGATATCTTAAGCCCATGATGTCGTCTACACAGTCAGCCCAGTTCACAGCACATGCTCCGCTAGGAGGGTTCCCTGTCGCTTCCACTTGGGAAGCGTGTTTCCACCATCTTGCAAATTCGCCCCTTTGCTGGTATCTTTTGGGGCTGATAGTTGCGATTTCAGGGCTTGGGGGAATGTGCACATCTTCTGCGATTCTGTGCAGGGTATTGCTGTTGATCCTCCCGTGTTTCTTCTTCTGCTGCTAATTGCTCTTGCTCCTCCTGCTGCTGCTTCTGCTG